AAGCTTATAATCCCCGACGCGATACAGATGCACAAGGACCGCCTGCTGGTGCAACCGCTCAGAGATAACATTCGTGTTAAACACTTCAATGGTCACGTTTGCTCTCCGTTTACGATTCCCCAGTCTCACCACAACACCGGTGTACCGGATACCGATTTCGTGCTGTATGTAGCGGCAGGACCAGCTGTATTTGCTAATCTCGCCTGGGCAGTCACGTGTCAATTTGACCCCAGTGGCCGCCCCTTGGTGGGTGCTGCCAATTTTGAGTCTGTAAACACTAAGGACATTTTTCATGTCACACATACCCTGGCGCACGAAATACTTCACGTGTTGGGATTTGATAATCAAATATTTAAAAACAGAAACATGCTTGATACTGTGTCTGTTCGCAATAAGCCAGAAAGTAATGTTCTGAAGTCGCCCAAAGTGGTAGAAGTCGCGAGGGCTCATTACGGGTGCAGTACTATGAAATATATGGAGCTAGAAGACGTGGGTGGCACAGGGACTGTTGGCTCACACTGGAAGATGCGCAACGCAAAGGATGACTTGATGGCTCCTTCCGATTCTGCAGGTTTCTACACTGCCATCACCATAGCAGCGATGGAGGACACGGGCTACTACAAAGGCAACTACCGCAATGCTGAAAGTATGGCATGGGGTAAGAATGCCGGTTGTGTGTTATTTAATGAGAAGTGCGTTATTGACGGTTTTTCGCAGGTGCCGGAGATGTTCTGTGATAGTTATATCTTTCTCAAAAGTGAGTTAAAGTGTACATCAGATCGGATGGGTATTGGAGACTGCTTAATTACATATCATACTAACTTGCCAACATATTTCCAGTACTTTCCCAATCGGGAAAAGGCGGGTAAAAATCAATTGATGGATTATTGCCCATACATAAAAGCATATTCAACCTCTATGTGCTATAATGGAGATGAAAGTAATTTCCCTGGTTCTGTGTTTTCAGAATCTGCGCGATGTTTTTCAGCTGTCACGAAGACTTCCATCAGGATAAGCGATGACCAAAATATGCTCTCTATTTGCGCAGACGTGCAGTGTGACAAGGTCACCTCGAGGTACCGTGTGCGCGTGAAGGGCGCCAGTGATTTCGTGGACTGTCCACCCGGTACTACCCTTGTGCTTTCTGACTACAGTGGTGAGTTTAAATCCGGCGCAATCGACTGTGCACCATATGAGGATATATGCTCTAAAAATTTTTACACCAACTTTGACCTTGAAATCACCAACGACAAAAACATCATCGAAAACATAAGAGTTCCATCCGGTACAACTCAAGGCATGTACCAGTTGATCTACACACTTGTTGCGGCGCTGACAGCAATGGTTGTCCTCGCTGAATAATGACAGGGGGCAATGTGCGTGAAGAGGGTGAACCTCAGGAAACATGCACCAGACAGGGATGTAGAACGGTAAAATTGTGGCAGGTGCCTATAAGCTGACTCTAGATCGTTTTTCTAATTGGAATTATATTCCTTCTTTTTCATTTTATTAAACAGACAAATCTTTCTTTCCTTATATATATATAAATTGTCTTCTTTTTTATTTAGACGTACGGGAGGTATTCTTTCCCATTGGCGTGTAAATTATAAATTGTGCCTCATCAGGAGTGAGGAAACCACCGACTGAGTCGGTTTAAATGTTGAATACACTAAGCATTAAAAAATGCTGAAGAAAGATGTGTAAATATGGTACGAGTGTGGAGTTGACTCTCGCGGCTCAGAGAAACCATCTAAAGTAAAACGGTGCCGAGGTAAACACTTCGATACGCTGTCCTCGTTTTTGCAGTAAGTGTGTCAATTTCTTTCTACTGTTTAATCAATAAATATATATTACTTTCATAAATAGCACACGCGTGTATCTTAATCACTTTTATATCCTAACAGAAACAATGCCAACACTGTTGATCCCTATTCACTCTGGTTGTGGTACTTTGTTATTGTAACTTCCATCAC